GGTTTATCAAAACTTGAGGGTTTGTTGATGGGTTCAGCAACGTATCTACCCCTTACCCTCCACGAGGTTCGCTCCGATAAGCCGACGGTTTCGTCTGCATTATCGATAGGGGCGGACCAGAAGTAATCGTCGCACCCTTCAGCATTGTCTGTGTCGACCAAGATTTTCAATTCTGCTGTTTGTTTTTCAGTGACCCCTTTAACAGCATATACTTGATTTGGCACTGTTTGAACTTTCTGATAGACCATTGCTTTCTCTTTGAGTTTCTTCGACTTGTCCTTTGACAGGCGAGCATATTCAACCGAGTTCTCAGATATGAGTGGTTTTTCATTCTTGGTTTCGCTCTTCAAAAGTTCAGAGCAATCAACCACATCTTCCACCGAGATTTCGCTCATCTCACTTTCCTCATCAAATTCAGACGTGTTTTCTATATTCATTTTATGTTCTGAAATTAATTTGGCGTTAGACAAGTCAAATGTTTGAATGGTCTCAGACTTAATTTTCAACCTATCATTTTCATCTAAAAGATTTTTGAGCATACATTTATGTTCCTTAGAGTCAATAAAGGTCTCTATCTTGTCTAGTCCGATTTTATAAGTGATGGAAGTCTCTTCTGAGGACATTATGGATTCACACTCAGCGATGACCTCATCCTCCTTAAATTCAAGGAAGGGTAAGATCATCTTATGAATCTTTTTCCCTATTTCACAATTTAAGTGCAACTGAGTAATATTCGTATATAAGCGTTTAGCAATCAAACAAAAACGTTTCGTTGTTTCAAAAACTTTAAATTGTCTCGTTGCAAATAAATAATCTCATCCCTAGCCCTAGTTAACTCCGTCTCCTTCGGCTCAATCCACATCCTTCTCTCCTCACTCTTCGAAGACACCCTGCTGAGTTGGTCAGTTAGGTTAGAGTTCGCTAAGCGAGTTTGCATGAGACTACCACTTAAGTTAGAAAATTTAAATTTTAGTTCATTTAATTCTTCTTCATAATTTGTTACGGGAACTTTAAGTGATTCAAGGATGGATTGTACCTTTTTGATCAGCCGATCACAGTCGTTGATCCTCTCACTCACGGGCTTGGCTGCAAAACACTTGTCCTCAGTCAGGATCGGCTCCTTATGCTCACCTTCGGTTGGTCTTCCAGCAGTAACCATCAAACATTTCCCACCCGAACTAGTAGCTTCCTCTCTCGCCACGTAAGCTCTTCCATGTGTGGGTTTTCTCACTTCTTCATCCTCAGAATCGGTTGACCAGACTTCAACGCCACCGAACTCATCTTCATCCACATTTTCCTGCACAATCAAGGCATTCATTGAACTATTAGTTGCCTTCTTTTTCTTTATTTCTTCCAACTTTCGCATGTAATAAGCCTCATCATCTTCACCGCCCCTTTTCTCAGCCATCTTCCTCAACATGCAATCTTTGGCAAAGTGGTTCTTGCCATGACAATAATTGCAGTCGAATCCAGAGTCTCCTACAAGCTTGCTTTCTTTCTTGTCGTCATCCTTTTGAGAGGTGTTCTTCGTTTCTTCTTTCACCTTCTCAGAGCTGTAACTTCCTTGCCAGTTTCGGTTCTTATTGACAAAGGAACTTCTTTCGTGCAAACTTCTTTGGGTTGGTGACCATCATTGCATATTCTTCGCTAGTAAGGTCACACTCAGACATATCTGAATCCTCCTCTTCTTCTGCTACACTTTTGCCTTTTGAGACAAGGGCCAACGATCCCACACCCGAAACTACCTTTGCCTCCTTGGTTACCACGCTTTCATGGGATTTAAGAATACCCATCAGTTTCGCTAGCGAGTATGATTTAAACTGTTCATGAGCTTTCACCGTTGAAACCACTGCCATCCATTCTGGTCTTAAACCATTCATGAAGGTCACCTTTTGCTCAATCAATTTTCTTTCAATGCCATGCTTGATCATCTTGCTGAGGAGATGATTGAAGCGATCGAAGGTCTGTATCAGTTTCTCTTCAGGTTTCTGTTCGAAAGCTCCAAATTCTGGGAGCAACAAGGTTTGGATCGAGTGTTCTAGATCCTCATCGGTTGAGTACAGTTCTTTTAACCTATCCCATATTTCTTTAGCCGTCGTGCATGAACCGACTAAACGAAAAGTGTCATATTGCAATGCGAATCTAATCATTCTCATGGCTTTCACGTTACATAGCACCTTATCCTTTTCATCTTGTGGAATCTTCTCTACGTCCACCAAAAGCTGATTATATTCTTTTTGAGTCTTCACTGTCCTGTTCGTTCCAGAATGAACAAACGGCCCAATCGTGATAGCTTCCCAGATGAGATAACCATTATCTTCAGATCCAACTACGTAATCTTCAAAGTGATGCGCCCACACTTCATAGTCTTGAGTGTAAAGAATGGGAACCCTTGCAGTGGATCCAATGTTGTTGGAGATGTTGATGGGATTAGTTTGAGAATCGTCGTGAGACATGATGAGCCTTTCCTTGGAACTGCTAGAATCAGAACTGTAAACTTGAGATTAGGGTTTTATCAAACACAAGAGTTACCGTCGACAGGAAGAAGACGGCTTCTTTATATTCAATAAAAGCGAAAACCCTAAAGAATTCTTCAAACAGAAAGAATGTGTATTGATTACACAGTCTCCTGCTCTGATACCAATTGTTAGAACAAAGTTCTAGTAGGATCGATTGATTCTAAGCAGAAAAGCAATAAATAACGTAATAAAGAACACATGAATGGTTTAACTGATGTCGAATGATTAAGCTTTAACACCTCAAAAGAGCTCGATTAAGAACTTCGACTGTAGAGGTGTTTAGGGTTACAAAGCAATAATAATAATAATGACGATCGTATCTAAGGCATACATGCATGCACTATAAATAACTTAACCCTAATCAATAATCACGGATGGACAGGCCCAATCCGGATATATAAAAACAAAGCCCATGACGCAACACAAAATACCCAACAGTTTTTAGACAAAAGTTTCAACTTAAGATAGCGTTGCTCAAGATTACACCACTTGTCATGCGGTTTTCAAATGAATCAAATCATGTTTTCTCCTCTTCCTTTTAGCTAATTATGTTTACTTTTAGCTGCCTTCCTTTTAGCTAGTTATGTTTACTTTTAGCTGCCATCGGTTTCTTGGTAAGATTATTTTCCAAAAATTCATTTACAGTTTGATTTTAAGCAAGTGTTTGATACATGGTCAAATAATTTGTAGATTTGAACATTTAAAAACTATTAGCGTCTGTTGATAGTGATTCATGGTGCTCACCCCAAACGTAAATACATGAGAAATATGTTCCTAGTGGTTGCCATGAATGTAAAAAAACCAAATCTTACGGTTCTCATAGTAAGAAAAATAGAGTGTAGAATCATGAGTTTGGTTTAATTGAGGCTAAACAACTATATTAAATAGATGGAGAATTTAGCCATCATACCAGTTCTAGCCAGTTCTACTGACACGAACATTAACATTCCGTTTCCAAATGCTTATCATAGACTTTGATGTTGATTTATGCTCATGAATTTGCGACCAAAGATCAGGAAAAAAAAAGTGGAAATGGTGTTTTGCGAGACATGCAAGACATATAGAATGTCTAATTTTCATATGTTCAACCATCCGTTCGTTTGTTATGATGCCAAATGATGCCCATATGATCAAATTGAATGACAAAGTACAACCAACAAGAACACAAAGAACAAAGATAACTTCAAAAATGGATTCTTTATAAAATAATCGAAAAAACTCTAACAAACAATGAAAACGAGATACTTATAAGGAGAAGAAGATGAATCTCTTTTCTTAACGTTAGGAGATCATAATTGATTAGGAAAAGATAATCCTCATTCCTCATCCATGTGTTAGCTCCGGGTGAATGGGAATAACCATAAATGTTGATGGATAAACGGTGAGTTGGATGCCTACGAAAGGTTAAGTGTGTTCCATCCCAAGGGAAGGGTCCCGTAATCAAAATATGCAATAGTTGTCCCAAAATGGGACAAACGCACATCATATATTGCATGTTGATCCAAGAAAGCCATGATCATAAAGTAGGAGTAAGTCTTAATCTAAGGTGAATGCTAGTCAACAACATAATAAAAAATATCATACATTTGATTAAAATAACCCGTAGAATTGTACATTTATCGAAATGAATATTATTTGGTGTTCACAAAATAAAAAATGTTGTGATATTCATATCATACTTCAAGCATCATACTCATCATTTAATAAGAAGTAATAAGACAAATGAATACTTTTATATATATATATATATATATATATATATATATATATATATATATATATATATATATTTGTGTGTGTGATTTTAGTGATCCGAGTAAGCTAAACGTTCGCATTTTCAAACAAAACTTTTGTTTAAATCGAACTTTTTGTTAAAAATTAAAAGTTAGAACCTTCCAAACATATGCTACCACACATGTCCATATGCTCATTGTGGAAAGCCGTTGTATTGAGCCTGTAAACAAATGATTATATATAACTCCATGTAGAATATTTTGGTTTATGTATTTATGTAATAAATTTTGTTTAAGCGAGTGCTGCTAAACAGTTATATTTAGTTAAGATTTTGGTGTTAAATTTATGATTTAATTTTGTAACAAGTTATTAGCATTCACAAAGTCGATTCTTGGATTTTGACATCATTTTTTTTTTCAATAAATGACTTCAAAACTTAATTTGAATGTGATTATCATATAATTTTTCTGTAACAACGGTTTAAATTAGCAACATTTGTTGCATTAGAATTTGATTGGTGTATTTTAATAATTGTTCTAAAAATGTTTGACATCTTGATATGTATGAAAGAAAACATGTAATTATCATTAACGTCTTTCGTTACAACTTAAACCTTTTACTTACTACTATTAATTATGGATTATTTTATGTATTTTAGATCACTTAATACTGAATTATCCCCCCCCCCCCCCCCCCCCCCACATACACACACACACAAAAAAAAAGCTTTAATAAAACAAAAATAGAATACCATGAACTTCCTTAATCAAAAGACGATAAAACTCGCTACCTTGGCTCCTCTATTCCGACGCCGCAACACGGCGGATGCACCATCACAACCTTCCTTTTATCGGCCCACATATTTTTCAAGTGTCAACCGTTTACCTACATTGATTCTTAACTTCATGGTTTCAATTTAAGCTCGACAATCACTGAAAACCATCACATTCTTGATTAAATTAGTGTGCAGGGTGTCTCTTCCTCTAAACCCTAGTGCTTCAATTCCAATTCTCCAAGCACCACCTATTGGGCAGTTTTCTTGATTATCAAGACACACATATAGTTATATACACATAATTACTTCATCGCGGCTTTTTAACCGGGTTTATGGAAGACAAATACAGTGTTGAATCTGCAGAAGCACTTGCGAACGAAGCATTGGTAAGACACATGAAAATTTGCATGAAATTATAAAGTCACTATCCTGTTTTTGTTTTCAATTTCATGTGTTGCCCTTTGTTATTTATCAGCGGTTGCCAATATCGGAGGCAGTGCCTATCTATGAGCAGCTATTGGCCACGTTTCCCACAGCGGTAAGTTCATGATTACTCTTTTCTTAAAAACAATCATATGAATTCTTAACTTACAACAAGTAACCACGTCAAATGTAAGAAGTGATACGCAATTACATCCAGAAATTTAAGGGTGTTCAGATTGTAATGCAAACGCCTCAATTTTCATATTAGGGTTTCGTATTAAAAGATCAACTGTTTGATTGTGTGTTGCTTCTTAGGCAAAATATTGGAAGCAATATGTAGAAGCACATATAGCTGTCAATAATGATGATGCAACAAAACAGATATTCAGCAGATGCCTATTGAATTGCTTGCAGATACCTCTTTGGTATGAGTTGTCTCTATAATTTTACTTTCACCATTCAATGTTGCCAATATGGATTATGTTACAAACTTTCAATAATCTATCTTGCAGGCGTTGCTATATAAATTTCATCAGAAAAGCCAATGAGAAAAAGGGGTTAGAGGGTCAAGAGGAAACTAGGAAAGCTTTTGACTTTATGTTGGGTTATGTTGGTATGATTCATGCTTGCTTTCATTCTACTATTGTTTACTTAATTGGCTTTCTTTCTTTCTTTCTTTCTTTTTGTTAATGTTTGTTTATTTCTTCATGATCAGGATCTGATATTGCTTCTGGGCCTGTGTGGACTGAATATATTAACTTCTTGAAATCTTTACCGGTTAGTAACTATTCTTGTTTACACAAAAAAGTAAAAACTTATTATTTTTTTTTTTCATCATTATTTCACTTAATTGTCTATGGTGTAGGCTCAAAATCCACAAGAAGAATCACAGAGAATGATTGCTGTAAGAAAAGTATACCAAAAAGCTATTGTGACTCCTACTCATCATGTTGAACAACATTGGAGAGACTATGAGAATTTTGAAAATTCAGTTAGCCGTGCTCTGGTAACTTTCTTGATATATAATTTTTATTATAAAAAATATATATATCTTGGCTAATGATATTATATTATATAGGCGAAAGGATTGGTATCAGAGTATCAACCAAAATATAATAGTGCAAGGGCTGTCTATAGAGAGAGAAAGAAGTATGTTGATGAGATTGATTGGAATTTGGTTGCTGTTCCACCTTCTGGTTCTCTTAAGGCAATTTCATATCTCTTTTTTCTTTTTTATCTTTATTCTTTATATGATTAATGATTTATGATTTTGAATCATTGTATAAAGCTGACTATTTCCTTCATCTGATACAGGAAGAATTGCAATGGACAGCATGGAAAAGATTCTTAGCATTCGAAAAGTAAGAAAAGAAAATGTTTTTCATAATTTGTATGCTAATAATATTAACATGACTTATTTGTAATCAGGGAGAATCCTCAAAGGATAGACAGTGTGTCTGCTAACAAGCGCATCTCATTTACTTATGAGCAGGTATATCAAGTTAATTATTTTTTATATTATTAGCATTAAACTACAGTTATTAGGTTATAATATGCATCAATTTGCAGTGCCTCATGTATCTATATCATTACCCTGATATATGGTTTGATTATGCCACATGGCATGCAAAAAGTGGATCAATAGACTCTGCAATCAAAGTATATCAACGTTCTTTAAAAGCTCTTCCTGGTAATTTTAATTAATTTATCTTCATTTAAATGTGGAACTATATTATATATCTTTTATGTAAATTATCCAAAATCCATTGTTTTTTTAGATTGTGCAATGCTAAGGTATGCTTATGCTGAGCTTGAGGAGTCCCGAGGGGCAATTCAGGTATTTAAAAATGGAATGTTTCCTGCTAGCTTGTGTATTCCTTTGTTCATATCCATATGTCTAACTTCATTGACTTTTAGGCTGCAAAAAAAGTATACGAAAGCCTTTTAGGAGATGATGCCAATGCAACTGCATTATCACATATACAAGTATGATCATATATTTTAAGAAAGTAAATTGATTTTGTTTACTTATTTGTTTTTTTTATGGGTTGTAAGTATAATTATATGTTTACATGCAGTTTATTAGATTCTTGAGAAGAACAGAAGGTGTTGAAGCAGCTCGCAAGCATTTTATGGATGCAAGAAAATCTCCAAATTGTACTTACCATGTTTATGTTGCTTATGCAACAATGGCATTTTGTATGGACAAGGACGCAAAGGTAATTTTGTTTAAAGCTATTGTGTTTCTAGGTTTATCTTAATTGTGTTCATAAGTTTTTACTCTTAATATACAGATTGCACATAATGTGTTTGAAGCAGGGTTGAAAAGATACATGCATGAGCCTGGATACATTCTTGAGTATGTATGCAGTACTTATAAATCTTTATGCCATTTGTGTAATATTTATAAATCTTCTAACTTTCCATATTTGTAGATATGCAGATTTTTTGTCTCGCTTAAATGATGATAGAAACATTAGGGCTTTATTTGAACGTGCATTGAGCTCGCTTCCACCTGAAGAGTCTATCGAGGTATATATAAAATACTATAAATAGAATTGTTTAATTATATTTTTTCAATTCCTAGTTCTTTATAGTTTCTAGCTACATGTATAAAATTAATTGATTTTGTTCTAGGTTTGGAAGAGGTTTTCACAGTTTGAGCAGACATATGGAGATCTTGTTAGCATGTTGAAGGTAATATAGTTTTATAATATTCATACAAAATGAAAATGTGGGTCCCATTGTAAATTTATTTATTTTATTGGTTTTATAAAAAGGTGGAGCAAAGAAGGAAAGAAGCTCTTGCTAGAACAGGTGAAAATGGAGCATCATTAGCTTTAGAGAATTCCTTACAAGATGTTGTATCAAGATACAGTTTTATGGATTTGTGGCCTTGCTCTTCAAAAGAACTCGATCATTTATCTCGCCAAGATGTATGATTTTCTCTCTCTTTTTTTTTTAATCTTTATATAATTGTTAGATATAAAGTTTATAAATTTGTGAGAGTATTTGATTCTTTTCAGTGGCTTTCAAGTAATGGAAACAAGAAAGTTGAGAAATCAACTCTTGTTAATGCAGATAAAAATCCAGGAGGACAAGTTTTATCGAATGTATCTTCTAAAGTTATTTATCCAGATACTTCAAGAATGGTAGTATATGATCCTACTAAACAAAAGCCTGGTATGCAACTAACTATATGAATAAAAATTTTGAAAATACAATATTTTATATTTTTAACAAGGGACAATCAAAGTACAATGCTATCTATATTAAGGAAAAAAGTTATAAAGTAGGGTGTTATTTATTATATTTATAATCTTCCCACAGGTGTAAGTGTAAGCACTCCTGTTCTTCCTTCTATATCTACCACATTGCTTAGTTCTAGTGTGTTAGCCACTGGAGGGGCGCCAAGTGTCCCTATTGTCATCCCAAAACCCCTCCCGCCTGCCTTGTCAGCATTTATAGCAAGTTTGCCTCCTGTTGTCGAGGGTAAAATCCGAAACTAATGTTAATTCTTATTCATCTTTTTTTAAGGATTTATAATTTATAATAAGTTACGTTTTTGGTCCCACAAGTTTTCTCTTGCAATTTTGGTCCTTATTTGAGTCTCTTGAAACATTTTTTGGTCCTTGTTCCAACTATTTTTGGCTTCTGATTATAGCCATTAATGAAAAATGTTACAAAAAACTTGAATAAGGACCAAAATTGCAAGAATCAACTATATCCAGGGACCAAAATTGTAATTTACTCTATAATTTATTAAAATTGTTTATATTGACTTTGACTTTAGGTCCGGTTCCTGATGTTGACTATGTTCTATCAATATGTTTACAAAGCAATCTACCAATTATGGAACAGCCTGCCTCCATTGATGTCAACAAATTTAAACCAAGAGACAGACAACATGGAAAGAGAAAAGATGCTGACAGTATATAGCTTCTTCCTTTTTTATCTTGAAAAAATTACATTTTCGGTCCTTGAATATTTCTGATTTTTCCAACTTTGGTCCCAAAAAGTTTTCTCTTGCAAATTTGGTCCTTATTTGTTGTTTTTGTAACGTTAGTATCGTTTTGGGACAAAATTGCAAAAATCAGCTATACTGAGGGACCAAATTTGTAATTTGTGATATTTTTTTTTTCTTTAATGTGTGTAGGACAAGAAGAGGATGAGAGTAATACGTTGGTTCAAAGTCAAGTACAAGCGCCTAAAGATGCATTTAAGATAAGACAAATGAGAAAATCACGAGTTGGTGTTGTTGGTGGGGCCCAAAGTGGAAGCGCTGTGTCATATGCTACTGGTAGTGTACAAACTGGATCGGCTTCGTATGGTAGTGGCTTTTCAGGGGAACATTCTGGAAGCTTTGGTTGATGAAATTAAACTATAATAATAATAATGCTATAATTGGATAGATTTTTTTATATATAAATGGGAGTTTACCATTTTTACTTTTACTTTGTATATGGTTGTAGGTAAGAGAGTAAGAGAGTGAGAGTCAAGTTGTAACATATAATATGATCCTGCTTGTTACTATTAAGAAAAGAAAGAAAGTTTCTTTTAATTCAAAAATCTCTTGCTCAGCATTTTTTTTTGTCTTATTATTGGTTGACACTTTACTTCTTGCTTCTTATTGTGTAAGTAATTCTTCTAGGTTTTTTAAGTTGAAGTATTATTTGGTGGAAGTTATTAGGGGAATTGCATAAATGCTCAACTCATTTCAACTCGATTTTCATCAACTTTAGCCTTTTGAGCTAAATCAAAATTCATCATATGTTCCAAATCCAAGTCCCTCAACTCAACTCCTTTAGAGAATTAACTCTACTATCCAAATCAGGCTGGTTCACCCGAATCTTCGATATAAGAAATTATAACTTTTTCTTGAATCGAATCATATGGTGACTCCCATAATCACATGTACATCCAAACCCACATTTACATCATCAAAGCATCCATTCCAATCCATGAATAGAGTACGAGATTAATAACTTATATTAAACTATCATATAGAGCACATGTTTCGTAAAGTCGATTATACACAATTATGTTATTAATGGTCATATATACTATATCTATTTCGCAAAAGCTATGAATTTTCATTGAGAATAATTTTTTAAACTAATGACGAAAATATATTTTACAAAATAGTTATTAACATCTTGCGGAATTCTTCATAATTTCATAGAAAATTAATTTTGCACAAAAAATTAAACTTTTTGCAAAATCATTTTCTATTTAGGTGCTACTATATGTACATCTTACTCAAATAAAAGAATCAAACATGTGGGTACAACAAGCAATTGGGCCTTAAACAATCACTTTAGATTTAAACGTTAAGTTAATTTGAATCTACAAACTTTAATCTTGATACAGCCCAAAAAGAAGACAGATCATTTCATGTTGTGAAAAAAATGGTACGACTCCTCTTTTGTATTAAGTTTTCAAAATATACTTAAAGGCAAACCGTTTATGACTTATGGAATAAGTCATCGTTCGTAAGTGAATAATCTTATGATCATATTAAATTCAAATGTATAAAGGGTAAATTACACGGATGGTCCCTATGGTTTAGGGTAATTTGCGTGTTTGGTCCCTAAATTTTTTTTTTAACTCAGAGCATCCCTACTTTATATTTTTATTGCACGTTTAGTCCCTGTCCATTCTAAAAAGACTAATTTACCCATTATTCTTTTTTTTTTTTCCTTTTTAAAATTTTTAATTTATTCAAAATAAAATAAAATATGGGCCATTTATTCTTAACCCTATCCCTAAAAACTGGATCTTGCTCAAACCCCTTTGCCTTTACCTTGTTGCTCTCGTCCACCACCACCTCCACACACCGACACATCCATTCTTCTTCCTCCCTCGCTTTTCGTCTCTTCACTGGAAAGTTGCACATGCTCAGTCACACACACACACACATACACTCTATCTCTCTCTCTCTCTCTCTCTCTCTCTCTCTCTCTCTCTCTCTCTCTTCGAGTTTAAAATCATCAAGTTCTGATATCGGTTCGTGAAACAGTAACGAAGATGAGATGTACTTCGGCGATTATGGATTTGTGTTTTTTCTTGTTCGTTTTGGGGATTTCACCCTAGCAATTCAAAGTCATGAACGATTTCAGGGTTGTTTTGGGGATTTCTGGTTTTTTTGTGTTTTTTCTAGTTCGTCGTTTGGGAATTGGAAATGCCAGTGGGTGGTAAAAGGAGATCAAAGAGAAGCTTGGAATGAGATAGATGATAGGTAGAAAAAGAGATTAATGCTCAACTATTTGAGTATTTCATCTCAAGAAAAAACCTAGAAAAAAAGTTTGATTTCCATTGTTGGTGTTATGCTTAATCAGGATGTTTTTGTTTATGATGGTGCCCACCAAGTGTTCGATCATTTGTATAGTCGTTTTTTTAAGATCATGGTGAATCATATGTGAAGTTTTGAACCCTTCAATTAATTGGCGGAACTCTTGGTGCTATGCTTAATCCCGGTGAATAACCTTCTCCCCACCACCATCTTTAAATCCAGATCTCGACTCCCACATAAGCCACCGTTGTCACTTAAAATAAGAAGAAACTGATTTCAAATATAAATGTAATTCAATTTAATTTTTTTTTCCCTAGAATGTGTGGGAGTCGATTTCGGTTTTGCTTTCAAACAACTTAGAAAATTCAGAGGAATCCAAACATGGAGAACCAATGAGTTTTTATTTGCAATAGATTATTTGCTTTTGATATTTTTTCTAGCGGAATCTAGTATTTTTTCCGGTGGAGTCCGGCATTTTCCGGCGAGAGGAGAGAGATTTTCCGTTGACTGAACATAAGGAGGGAGGGAAGGGGAAGAGGGTTCAGTGGTGTGGGTTCTTGAATCAAAGTAATATGTTTTAATTAATATTTTTTCTATATATATTTAATATTTTTTAATTAACTAGCAATTTAAACAATATAAAAGAAACAGTAAGGGTAAATTAGTCTTTTATAACGGACAGGGACTAAGCGTGCAACAAAAATATAAAATAGGGATGGTCTGAGTTAAAAAAAATTGTTAGAGACCAAACACGCAGATTACCATAAACCACAGGGACCATCCGTGTAATTTACCCATGTATAAAAGAGTGTAAACATATACGTAAGGATAATAACCTATATTTTTATTTAAATTTTGTATGCATCGATCAAATAGTTTTACCATATTATCGTTGTTAGAATACAACGCATATATAGGATAGAAGTTTGATAATTAGTTTATATAGGAGTATAATGATGCTCTCAATGCTTGCAGTTGCACCCTTAAGCTTTGTATTCAGCCCACAGTTGATCAACCGTCTTCCCTAGCAAGTCCACGAAATAACCATCGTTATAGCCATCCCTCATCTTCTTATTAAGTTCAGCCAAAAACCCATCTCTAAGACCATTACAATACTCTAGGAACCGAGCTGTCACATCGTAGCCTTGGTCCCATCGGTCACCTTGTCCTGGCTGAACCCAGTGGCTTGGTATATACCCAGCCTTCAGCCTCACGTAGTCCGCAATTCCCTCTATCAATTCTGCCTTAGCTTGACCATTTCCAAACCATTGCCATACGTGTGCCATCTCGTGATAAAGAACTCCATCAAACCCAGTCTTGTCATCACCGGAAATCCCCTCGATCAAAGTTGCGCTGACATGGATCTCATTGCCATAAGTGTAGGCAATACCATCCATGTCGTCGATGAACATGCTTACAAGAGCAACATTCTTTCTGTCAGCATCTGTGTTTTGTTGGAATATGCTCCATGTGAAGCTTGTGGCGGAGCTAAGAGTTTGAGTGGTGTATTCTGCCCCAATTTCGTTATTGAACTTAACACCGCCGGGGGTGGCTTCTGCTCTGTTGGTGATGGTGTAGTCGACGGCTGCGGACAGTTGCAGGGCTGCTAAGATTGCAAGGGATGAGAGGAAGAAGGAGATCTTCTTAGCCACTTGAATTAATTTGTAGATATAGGTTTAGATTCTACACTTGTATGTGGGTTTATATAGCGGTGGATGGTGGTGAATGTTGGGGCTTATGGTGGGACCCTGACTGAGTCTACACGTTAACGATAAGAAATTTAATTGTGAGAGACTTGGACCTATTTGTCTCGTCAATATCTTTTGCATTTTCTTCTATTTCTTTGTTATGTTTTGAATATTGAGAAACGTTTATTCATCATGATTTTTATATTTATTTGTACAAAGTGAATCTGTTGTTACAAATCTGAAGGTTAATATATATATATATATATATATATATATATATATATATATATATATATATATTTGTTATCCTAAATTTTAATGTTAGAAATCATTATATTACATACATGGATATGAAAATATAATATCCTTGGAAAAATTATTTATTCAATAAGTTCTGAATATTGCCAAGACTACAGAAAAATGTTATTTTTTTTGTTTTCAATATTTAATTTAAAAAAATGTCAAATCTTATCATCTTCATATATAAGAATGAAAAGGATCATGTAAATTTAGTGCTCTAAAAACAATTGAAGTGAGTAAAGAGTTTGTTTAGTAGACTACTATGAGATGGCCCAATTACTTTGAAAATCAAACATATAACTAAAATATTGGCCCAACTACTCCGAATTAAAAAATCCAAAAAGATGAACCATGAACCTGACGTGAATCGAACACGCAACCTTCTGATCTGGAGTCAGACGCGCTACCATTGCGCCACAAATCCTACTGTAATATACTTGTATTCTAATTTACTTTAGCCTAAGTTAATCGGTAGAACGAGTTATGAACCATGTTGAAACTGTTTCAAGTCAAATTGGGTGGCATTTATATGGTATTATGTTCAGTCTTCACGTTGAGACATACCTACATTTTTCTAATAAAATAATTAATAGTTATTGATGTATTATACATGATTATAAAAACTATATTGTTAAAATAACAAAATCTTAAAGTTTTGAATATTAAAAAAATTAGTAGGTTATATGCATTTAAATACACATTTGGGTTCTGGACAATCCATTTGACTTGTTACACTCTTAGCTATCTTTTTAAATTTACCTCATTTGAGATAATATGACTTAAATAATTCCATTTATAAAAAAATTGAAATTGTTATCTCTACCATGAAAATTTGTCTAGTATCAGTATTGTTAATCTGATAAATTGAAAGTTTTATGGATACAAAAGGGAGAAGTGGAAGAAGGAGAATATCAGATGTCAGATTATTGCTTTTGTCACTGATAGGCGTGAGTTGTTGACTCGGTGTGGTAGGTTTTGAGTTTTGGTTTCCGGTGGGATTCGTCAGATAGTGTTAGAGGAAGATCACAAGTCTAAGTTATTGATTCATTCGGGTGCGAAAAAAATGTATCGAGACTTGAGACTCAGTTATTGTTGACCCTGCATGAGGAGGAAAATAGCGTAATTATGGATCGAGCATCAGAGACCACACGGTAAAGGTCTATATATGGAAATAGGAGCAGATGACCATGAATTTTATCACCAAGTTACCAAGGACGGCCAAGGGACTTGATGTTATTTAGGTTATTATGGATCGTTTTGACCAAGAGTGCCCATTTCCTCGCTATTTGGGATAGCTCCTCGGTCGATAAATTGACCGACATCTATATTTGAGAGGTTGTGGCTTGTCACGAGGTGCTCATTTCTATAGTCTCAAATTGAGACGTTCGGATTACTTCCAGGTTTTGGAAGAGGTTCCATGAAGAGTTGGGTAGCAAACTGCATTTCAGTACTTCATATCATCCGCAGACAGATGGCCAAAGTGAGAGGATTATTTAGACTCTCGAGGATATGTTGAGAGCTTGCATCATTGATTTCGATGGGAGCTGAGACTGCTACCTTTCTTTGGTTGAGTTTTCCTACAACAACAACCATCATGTCAGGATTGGTATGCCTCCCTACGAGCTTCCTTACAAGAAAAATTGATTGTGATGATCGGTTCGAGGTTTGGAGGGCCTTGCTCAAGGTAGTGTCAGTTGAGTTGCGGGACTCAAGGAGGAAGCGATTGTGATGGTCGATTCGAGTATTGCAGCCAGGGTTGAGTGATTGGTAAACGGATTGGGATGTCACAATCATTGACAGGGGTTATGTACTTCCAGCTTTCCGTGTTCAGAGGAAAGAAAGAGTAAACATGTGAGTTTCAAAGTTGGGATGTAGTCCCGACATGAGTCTAGAAGATTGTGGTTTTCTTTGTCGATAGGTATGGAAATGTAGGAATGCACAAAATGATTTGATTCAGCAGGTTCGTGGCAGACTTCAGACAACACATAGCCGACAGAAAAGTTATGCAGATAGACACCGGTCAGACTTGGAGTTCCAGGTTGGGGACACGATGCTCCTGAAAGTGTCACCTTGGAAAGGTGTCATCCGATTTAGGAAGCAGGGCAAGTTGGGCCCCAGCTATATTGGTCCTTTCAGGGTATTAGCCCGGGTTGGTAGGGTTGCGTATCGTTTGGATCTGCCATCAGAGCTCTTTCAGATCCATAACACTTTTCATATCTCTCAGCTGCGGAAATGTTTGGTTGATAATTCTGCAGTGGTTCCATTGAAGTACATTCAGGTGGATGACCGCCTGAATTATATAGAGAAACCAATGGTGATCCTTGACAGGAGGACGAAGACTTTTAGAAACAAGGTGGTGAATCTTGTGAAGGTGCAGTGGCAGCACCGAAAGGGTTCAAAGTAGATGTGGGAGCCTGAGGACAAGATGAGGGGCATTACCCAGATTTATTTGCGACAGCGGACTTCAAGGACGAAGTCTAATTCAAGTAGGGGATAATTATAACACCCGATCCAAGGTATTTTCATTTTGGACCCTTGGTGTGTAATTAGTTTTCAAATTTGGTCCTTAGGGGGCATTATTGTAATTTTTGGGAGGAGGGTTCGTACGCTGGGCGTTCCTCCTAAACGCTTGCGTACAAAATCAGGAGACAAACCCTAATTTTAGGGTTTGGACCCTATTTAAGCAACCTTTTGTCCCAAGGTTCTCTCATTTCCTAGCCTTCATTGCCCTTTTGAGTCCGATTTTGAAACCCTAGCTCATTTGAAGAGAGAGTTGATATTTATGTGTGTGTGTTTTGCTGTGTGTTTGGTGTAACTTCAAAAAGACGAAGCTTGGAGAAGGATCCCTCGTCAAGGAGGAGCTTGGAGATCCAGATTCCATTCATCATTTCCAGCTTCATTGAGGTATAAAGCTTGGACCTTGCTCATTCTATGCTTAAATCTAGTTGTTATGGAGTTTTGATCACTTTTTGGTCCTATGAATGAGATCTAGTGAAATTTTACCACTCCATAAGTTATGAGTTGCTCTTCTTGATGTTTCTGGGATCCCTAGTCAAGTTAACATTTTTATGGTTAAGGATCAACCATGCATGAGTTTATGTCCATTTGGTGAAAGTGCGATGCTAAATCTAGGGTTTGAGTTCATTTGGGCCCTGCAAAGGCTCCAAGTTAGTGACTTTATGGATTAAGACGTTCCCCAAGGCTTGGATCTGAAATTTGGACGTTTAGTTTTAAGCATTAAGGACTAAATAGATGAAAAGAGATGAAGGCAGTATATGTTGGGTGTTCGAGTGTGTACATTGCACGTACACGTTTGGATCCTCGACTTGGTGTAGCCACCTAGTACGTCAGGTGTACCAGGGGAACGCTTAGCATTCGCGACCATATGGACTTTTGACTTTTGGGCTTTAGGGTGTTAGGACACAAGTCTTGCTGATTATCGGCCACTGATAGGGATTGCGCCTTCTTGGATTTGGGTCCATATTAGGCTTTGGGTGTTCTTTAGGAACTGGGCCATTATTTGGGCTTTTGTGCCATGGAGTGTGGGCCTTGGCTTTTGGGCCAATTGAGGGAAAGGAAAAAGGGTCTTTTACCTTGGGGGTCGGGATTAGGTGATTAGAGTCCTAATTATGGTTTATGACCCAATTATTAATTAGGGTTTTATTTCATTGGTTAGTGCGGGGATTCTCCGGTTCAACAGCCCAAGTATTTATTTGACTGACAGCAGACTGAGGTGAGTTTGCATGTGTGGATGTGCTTGTAGTCTTTGTGACTCATTATGTATGTATTGTATGCATGTGTGAATGTTTTCTATATGTATGTGGGGTGAAATAGACTCGGTACAGCCTTGTGTTGACATATGAGTTGAAATAGACTCAGGAGTGAAATAGACCCAGGGGTGAAATAGCCCCGGTACATCCTTGTGCTAACATATGAGTTGAAATAGACTCGGGGGTAAAATAGACCCGGCACAACCTTGAGCTGGCATATATGTATGGTATGCGGTATTTTGGGGAACTCACTAAGCTTTGTGCTTATGGTTTCCAGTTTATGTTTTAGGTACTTCCGGATCGAAGGGGAAGAGTTCGGGATGATCGTATCGCACACACCATGACTTTTCACTTATTTGAACCTAATGTATTTTGGATGATTATGGATACACTATGATTTCCCTATGGTTTTGATAAACACGTTAGTTGATGTTTATTTAATATAAAAACAAAAAATTTTGGTTATGAGTTTTTGGGACGTTACATTTGGTGCTTTGAAGAAGAAAAATGTATCTTTGGTACATAATCCAACAAGAAAATCTCTTGCTCGTATTCTTAACTCTTGTAAGTCCTCAAGCCTCTACCTTTTGAGTTCAAGCATGCAAGATATAGGCTTTTTGTAGCACCTAGTTCCTGGTATGTATTTCCTTTATTTAAGAATTTTGCATTTTGTCTTGGGACTCGACGAGTTGGCGGCCCAACTCGTCGAGTAGAAGCGGTTTAGACCCGGGGTTTAAGTGGTGGACTCGTCGAGTCGGCGGCCGGACTCGACGAGTAGACGTTGTCTGAAAAAAAACCCTAATCTGAGGGTTTGCACCCTATTTAATCATCTCATTCAGCCCCCACTCGTCCCTATTGCTCCCAGAAACCCTCCATAGTGAACCCTAATTGTGTGTGTGAAGATCTAAGGCACTTGTGGTGATTTTTGGTGGTTTTGATCACAAGGAAGAAGGAAGAACTTAGAGGGATCAAGAGAAGACCAAAAGAGTCCTTGTTGGTTCATCATTTGCAGTCTCCAGAAGGTATAAAGTCTATACCTTGCTTGTTCTTTTGTTAGATCCCTTTTTGGGG